TGCTTGTTTTTCTTTCTTCCAGTAGGTGATTCAGTGGACTTTTTAATGTCTTTTCTCACTCCCTCTTTCCCTCTGTTTTTCTTTACCCTGTTTTTCATTAACTTCTCTTGTCTACGTCTTTCCCTTTCCTATCCTCCAGTCAAGTCTGTTCCATTTGTAATAACTTAAAAGTTAAACAAAAAATAAATAAATAAAAAACAATAACAAAGATGAATCAAGTGGACCAATAATGATCTACTTGGAAAATTTTTCCAAAAATGAAAGTTTGTCATTTTTCTTGGCCTTCAGGCATTAATTGCGATTGCTACAGTGCCGAACAGGACAGGCAAAAAAAAAAGAAGAAGAAAGAAAAGAAAACCCACAAGCAGAGCTGACAGGGGCAGATGGCGAGCCACACACACCGGCACAATTGTCCCGCCAAGCACAGCAGCAAAGCTCCAACAGAACGACCGAAAAAGAAATGTATCAAGGTGCTGCCTGACTGAGACTGTGGTGGGACATTTAGAGAGCTGTGCATAAATGAATGCTGCAAAACTAAATGAACTGAAGTAATACTGTAAACAAGCGTGGACCAAACTTTCTCCTCAGTGATGTGAGAGAATAAGAAAGTCACACAGCAAATCATCACTCAAACTTATTGGTCGTGAATGACTGGACTCAGTTTCTCACACTTCTTTTTTTACCATGACCTTAGAAATTATTACAACTTCGCGTGTGTAGTATTAGTAGTAGAAGTATCAGTACCATGGATGATCTCGAGCTGCTGCACGTGGTTCAGGTTGTCGAGCGCTGACATCAGAGGGTCATCTTCCTGTCGTCTCTGCTCACTGTTCTTTCCTTTGTTTTCGTAGGCGAGGACTGTGTCTGACTCGTCCAACAGGAAGGACAGACCAGCTTCAAGCAGGCGCAGCTAAGCACACAGGTCGGTCCGCCAGGCGAGTAAAAAAAAGATCTCTTCAGTAAAATCTCATTATATATCAATCAGAGCATGCTCAGACACACTAAACACAGACACAGTACCTGGCACATTCTGCAGGAGCAGAGTTTGGAACGCCACGGTGAAGGCCAGAACACAGCTCCTGATTGGACTCTTTTCTGACCAATTACCTGCAGCTCCTTCAGTCTGCATCTCGGCTCCACTTCCTCACGGCTCCGCTTGCAACTGGGCTCAATGGCATCATCAACCTGCCAGATTTTGGATTACTGATTAATCAACCCTGATCAGTGAGTGTGATGCAAACTGCTGTGACCCCCTCACCTCTTCTTCTTTGATGGGAATGGTGGGCTCTTTTGCCGTTTCCTCCTTCACCTCCGCTGCTCCCCCCGGTACTAAAACAGGAAGTGCATCACACACACAAACATAGACACACAGGAAGTGCACAACATGTGTATAACAGTATGT